TGGCTTGATCCTGCCTAACCAAAAACTCAGGGTGATCTTTTTAGACTTGTTAGATCAATAGCAAATTAGATATATATCCACAACACAACAACTTAATTTATCGAATGTCGCCACTTAAATTATGAAGTATAGTACTATTTTTAAGGTAGAATAGTTGTATATAGGCCTACCACGACATTAGCTAGCTTAATTAAGTCTCATATAGGATTAGCCCACCGACTACCTCCAAATACTATGTCCTTCCGATACTCAGTTAAGAATTAAGTTTTTAACTTCGTACTTTACTCGGTTGGTCACTTGTAATTAGTATAGCTCGACCTAACCTCTATATTATGATTGCTTCATACATGTGTGTCTCGATCTTACCCACACATGATACCAACAAAGTCTTAGAGGAGAAATAATACAGTATCCACTTCAAGGGTCAACTTTCCAAGAAGGGTTTTTAACAAATTGGACTCTCAGAACACCATAACACAATATCCACACAATGGGATATGCAACTTTCAAAAATCCTTCATCTAGTTCTAAGTGGTCAACCCAACTCAACAACACGACAACTCTTTATAGATTCAACACGATAGTGAAATCAGCATACAACTTTACATCTCATAATTCAATCATCACTATTTCTATTCAACTCTTTAATCAACATACATCTCAACAACACATCTCATATTCAACACAACTAAACAATCAACATACAACTTTGTCAACACACACATCTTACAACTCATATCCACTTCTCAACTAACAACTCACAACACAATCATCACATACTACTTCATTTATGCAACTCTTTCATCATATTTTAATTTAAGAACTTAAATCAGCAAGAAATCAACACTTCATCAACTATATCATCATATTTTTATTCAACAACTAGTACCAGATGCTACTCCCCTTGCACCCAGTGCCCTCCAAGCAGGGAGCTCCCTACCTCGTCCACGCATGGCGTTACTTAACCTGCATCTAGCGTGGCTACGGTAAAGGTCTCTAAGACCTCCTAGAGTGGTAAACTACCACGCTCAGTCGCATCTCAAGCAAAGAGTCTCTGTCTGAGTCTTGTTTGATGTCTCCACCTCGACACCCAGCAAAATCTGGACAGAGCTTTGGCTTAGCCACGCTAGGCGCCACTTAACTTTGGGTCCAGCATCCAAGTCAAAGTGCTCTCAGGGTACCCACACCCAACATCGTTCAACGACGCTCGGCATCATTCCAACCCGATATAAGTCTCTCTCCTCATGCCTAACACCAACAATTTTACGCTCAACGTGATTGAGACAGAAAGCCTCAAGCTAGAACAACGTCTAGTGCACCCAACACAACATCAAAGTTTTGCATATGCAAAACCTGATTTTGAGCCACAACCTGAAATCCATCAAGTTTCAAATGCATGAAACACATAACAACAACCATATACATCACAATCAACTCAAACATGCACACAAATTCAACATGCAAACAAGATTTAGCAAAGAATTAATGATTATGACCAACAACTCAAAGCCCCATTTTCAACTTGTTTCCCCCTTCGAACTCATCAACACAACCACACATAATGTGATTTCACACTTCACATAACTTAAAAATGGTTTTCCAATTCTCAATTCGTACATCACACTTAAATTTTCCAACTTCCCTTACCTCGAGATAGCTTAAGTTTAAGGTAGAAGAAAAGAACGATTAGGACTTCGCACAAAATCAACTACTTGATTCAAGGTTTCCACCACCTGAATCACAATAACACAACTTAGAAAAGGTTTGGAAGAAGGAGGAAAAAGATTGAGAGAATAAGAGCTTACAGATCAAAGACTTTTTTTCTAGAATCCTCTCTGGACTTCTAAGAAAAATGAGTTTATGAGATTTTGTTTAAATAGAAACTTTATATATTTTTCTCTCTAGGATCAAACTGGATTTTTGTTCAGAGAAATCTTTTCTGAACACCACTGAAGCACCTAAGGAGTTCTTAAACCCCTGAACTTCTCAATACTGATTAACAACTCACTTATCAGTATAAAATAACTAGGAGTAATATAACACTATCACAACTTACATTGTTATAACAATGCTTTATGCATTGTGGTTTCATTTAATTATAGATTTTTTTTCATATATAAATGTCAAATATTTGTTGATCACCTTATAAATATTTAACAACATATCAAAATATCATTCAAACAATATTTTAGTAAATCAACAAGAAACTAATTTTAAAAATAAATGTTGTAACAATTAATTTATATTGACTTATAAGTTTCTTCATGTTGTTTATTTAATAAAATTAAAAAAGACACCTCTATATCTAAAAAAAGAAACAAAATGTTAAGTAGTGATATTTATCTATTTTAAAATGAAGTGGATTAAAATGAAAATAAAAGAAATAAAAAAGAAGAAAATAATAGAGAGAAATTAATTAATGTGATGGATGATGAGATTGTAAAATAAAAGATAGAGACAAAATAAAATAAAAATAGTATAAAAGAGAAAATAAATATTTATCCATTTTAAAATGAAATGAATTGGAATGAAAATAAGAGAGATGAAAAAAAAAGAATAATAGAGAGAAAAGTGATATCAATAATGGATGATGAGATTGTAGTCAAATAACCACCTCTTGGCATCGATAAAATCATTAAATATCAGAATTATGGGGGAAAAAGTGTTATCCGAGTTCTGAAACAGTATAATACTATAATTGTCAATATCGTCAGATCTTAGACAGCATGAAAGCAGAAAAGTACAAATCAAAAGCAGGAGAATTTTCTTTTCGTGCCACTGCCAGTCTGCCAGAATGTGTTTCGAAAAATTGAAATTTAACCAATGACTTGTCTTTCTACTTTTTTTCTGGGTATAATGTAATGATGTATCATCAACTCATAGTACATTATATTTTTGTCTGGCAGCTATTAAGTATTAACCATGAAATTATTTTCAGGACAAGTTTAATTCTCGTTTTGCTTTAACCTATTTCTTTCTTTTCAGAAAATTACTTTTTTTTTTTTGCTGACTTAATTAGACGAGCAATAAATAAAATCATTAAAAGGGAAAAATATGCTTTATTGAAATTGTTGACAAAGAATGGTGGAAATAAGAAGGGGAAAGAAAAGAGGAAGTTGAACTACTCCATTAGACCACTAGCCAGACAGAAAATAAAATAATAATATCTAAAAGCCATCAGTGACTCTTTTTTTTTTTTTAAGGACCAATTCATTGGTGGCTTAAGACCTGTTTAGATAAGTTTTTAGGAAGGACTTTTATGAGATGAAAATAATAATAAAAAATCAAAATAAATTTTTTAATAAATAAAAAATATTTTTGAGAGATAAATAGGAGAAACTTTCTACAAAATAACATTTGTATAAGTTAATTTTAACTTATAAAAAATATTAATTTATTTTTCATTCCTGTTAGTTTGTAAAAAAATTTAAGTCATACTCTTATTAGAGTGTACCGATTTATAAGTTATTAAATTTTTCCATTATAATTATTACAAAACATTTTTTTTCTAAATTTTTATTTTTTGAATTTATTACTTCGTTTACTTTTCTTTTGTCAGATATATTAATATTAATATCAATTTTACTATTCATTTCTTGACCTTTCTTGATCACCCATTGACCCCATCCAGGTAAGTATTCATTTCTTGACCTTTAAATTTGTATTCGGAGTTCTTTTGAGCAAATAGAAATAAAATATAATATTTTTAATATGAAAATAATTTAACATTTTGCTTCAGATATTCAATATTTAAAGTATAGAAAAATATACATTATCTTTCGACTCATCAAATTGTATTCTTTGTAGTTTTTTTTACATTTGTAATAAGCATATCAATTAAAAATAGATTAATTTTGAATAAATAATAAAAAAAATATTAATTATCTATATTGATCCTAAATAGAGAAAATAGGAATATACGTTATTATAATATAAATAATTAATATTTTATTTTTATGAACGATGTGGCATTTTAATGCTATTCTTACAAGTTTAATTTATTCGGATTTTTTTTTTGCATGTGTTGATTGATAATATATTAACATATATTATTTTTATATTTTTTTTTAAATTAAGATAAATATATGAGAATATATTTCATTGTAGATATGGTTCACCCATAGTGAGAAATATACATTAATAAAATATAGACAATCATTTTAATACCAAATTATCGATATCCATGCTTATAATTAAAAATGTTAATTACAATTTATATATTTTATTTTTGATAAAATTATATGCTTAAATGTGATTACAAATTAAAAAAAAAACTTGCGATTATATCTTTGGATTTTGGTGCATTATGACAATAAAACATTAGTAGTGATTTGATTGTTTAGAACTTTAGATATAAATAGAAAATTATCAATACATGATAAAAGACCAAAACTAGAAACTGCTTTTAAAACTTGTATTCAACCTTCTAACTTTGGACCTTATTAAGAGAAAAGTAAAATTGTTAAACAATTTTATATTTAACCATAAGGATCAATCTAATGGAAAGAATTTAAGTGGTATATAAAGGTTTTGATTTGGAATTGTGATGTTGTGATTATATTGTAATTTTATCTTTAAAATGTTTATTTTATAAGTCTCATCTATTTATTTTATTTTCATTTAAAAAAAAAATTATAATAATCTTTATGAAAAAGGAAATTAAGTGTTAATAATGAATAAAAAAAATTGCAATATTGGAAAGACTTTTCATTTATGCTGCTTTAAGAATTGGAAGAAAAGTCATCCACATCGATCATATCTTAAACAATGAAATCCACATTGATCATATATAAAATAATGTAATTATGTGTTGAATCGCATAGGCCGAGTGTTGGCACTTACAAGAGAGAGAAGCAAATATGTACAAACTAAAAAGTGTTGCAACGAAATGACAGCCAAATAGCCAGCAGTACATTGTATTAGGAACAACCAAAACTGGAATTGTTGAAGAAGAGACAGGTAATCACCAAATCATTTTTAAAAGCAGGGGATTATGATTTGAAATTTATGAAAATGCTAATAACCTTTGGAATTATGGAACGTTGATATCTTATTCTAAGTTCTAACTCTAATTTTATAATTAGAAAGAGTAATAAATAGTTATTTAATAGCCTTAAAGAGTAAAGTTATAAGTAGTGGGTAAAAATGTGAGAATCAAAGTCTGAGCTTGACGCGAATCTTCGACTCCCTTCCCTTGGATTAGATTTGAATGCACTTCACTAACGTAAACCCCAATTAAGGTTTCACTCTGAAAATCCCATGTCAGCTTCATGCGGGGTGGTGGAGTGCGTCCTCGTTCTGGGCTGCGCGCGCTGGCTCTGGAAGCGATGCAGCTACGTCGGAAGCTACGACAGCGCCACGTGGCCCGCCGCCACCCCCGACGAGTTCGACTCCGTCCCCCGCCTCTGCCGCCTCATCCTCGCCATCTACGAGCCCGACCTCCGCAAGCCCATCAACTACAGCCCAGCCCAAGGCCCAGAGCCCGAGTGGGTCATCAAGCGCGTCAGCCACCAGGACACGCTGGGGCAGGCGCCGCCCTACCTGGTGTACGTGGACCACCGGCACAAGGAGATCGTCCTGGGCGTCCGCGGGCTGAACCTGGCGAAGGAGAGCGACTACAAGGTGCTCCTGGACAACCGATTGGGGCAGCAGATGTTCGACGGCGGGTACGTCCATCGCGGGCTGCTGAAATCGGCAGTGTGGTTGCTGAATAGGGAATCGGAGACGCTTAAGCGGCTGTGGGTGGAGAATGGGTGCCAGTATGATATGGTGTTCGCTGGGCACTCTCTGGGTTCTGGCGTGGTCTCGCTTTTGACGATATTGGTTGTGAATCGTAGAGAAAGCTTGGGGGGCATTCCGAAGGAGAAGATTCGATGCTATGCCATTGCTCCTGCCAGGTGTATGTCACTCAATTTGGCTGTCAAGTACGCCAATGTCATTCATTCTGTTGTTTTGCAGGACGATTTCTTGCCTAGAACCCCTACACCCTTGGAAGATATTTTCAAATCTATTTTCTGGTATTTCCCTTTCACCTTTCATCTGCATCTCATCTTTTTCTACTTGTTATGTAGCATACTCAAGTATCTTGCTCATCACCCTTTCATCATTTCAACAGCTTGCCCTGCTTATTGTTCTTGGTTTGCCTGAGAGACACCTTCATACCCGAGGGTAGAAAGCTTAGAGATCCAAGGAGACTTTATGCACCTGGACGAATGTACCATATTGTCGAGAGAAAATTTTGCAGGTATTCATTTGCAAGTCCATCACTAGTCATATGCTCAAAATGGATTATGTAAGTGGGAAACTAAAATTAGATATATTGGAGATCTAACATCGACTACTGATATGATCATCAAAATATGTTATATAAGTTTGAGTTAATCCCACATTCTTAAGATGCTATTAAAGTTGCAATAATGAAATTCCTTGTTTCTTGGTGAACACAGATGTGGGAGATTTCCTCCTGAAGTGAGGACTGCTATTCCTGTTGATGGAAGATTTGAGCATATTGTTTTGTCCTGCAATGCAACATCGGATCATGGAATTATTTGGATTGAAAGGGAGGCTGAAAAAGCCTTACAAGTAAGAAAATGTCTTGTATTTGCTCTCTTTTTTCCTAACATTTTTCTTAACTAGAATTGGGAAAGAACCCTCAGATAGATTGCACCAACAAAAAAATAGGAATACAAAACTTGGCTCTGTTCTTTTCTTTGTTCTTTGAAGTTTACAACTTTATGTTATTAGTAATAGTATAATCTGTGGATCCAAACACTGATCAAGTTTTTGTATTCCCTTATAGTTAATGAAGGAAAAGAGCTCCGAAACAGTGACAGACCCTCCAACCGTACAAAAGTTTGAGAGGTTGAAGACCATAGAGAAAGAACATAAAGATGCTTTGGAAAGAGCTGTTAGCTTGAATGTACCTCATGCAGTGGACAGTGCAGAGAAAGAAGCATCGGAGGACAATGAAGATGAGGCAACCGGTAGTGAAAGCAAAAATGTCTCAAGCACCCAATCAAATTCTAGTGGTGGAAAGTCAAATTGGGATGAGGTGGTTGAAAAACTCCTAAAGAAGAAAGAGACAGAAGATCTAAACGTGGAAAGAGATACGGATGTCACACAATGACATCTTTCTCTATGTTTTTATTAGATATTCACACCCATTCATGTTTCTGGTTCTTTTGTTTATTCTAGGTATTCTTGAGTTTGTTGATTCATGATGTAAAAAGATAGTTACAATTGCTTGGAACACCAGACTTATATACCAGAGGAATTACAGTTGATAAGACAAGAAGTGTTGTTGTGTTGGTCGTGAAATTTTGTTGACCTTGTAGTAAATACGGATCAATAATATTTTTTCACCAATTATGAAATGGAAGCTATTGAGTGTTGAATGCAACTGATGCAACTTGTGGCTAGGTATGTTCCTTACCGTTTTTATATTTACCTCTACAAATTCGTGCCACGTTCTCCGTTGTTGAAACAGATTCTACGACACCTAATAGGAAGTATAATTATGTAATGGAAAGGGCATGCAGTTGAGCACCGATTGCGTGACTGGACGAAAGAACAGAAAGCAGGCACGACAAGCAAATGGAAGTAAAATGCTCTCCACAAGCGTAAATTATACAAGAGCATCAAACTCTAGCGTCTGATGTTTAAGAGTAATTGTATAATAACATTATTTTTATGTTTATCTCTCTCCATCATTAATAATTTTCTTGTACCGGGACTACACACCACCGCTCAAAGTCAACACTAAACACACCTCCTTAGGCCGAGTACCCATCAGGATAATGGGCCGAGTACCCCTCTCAAGCCGAGTACCCCCTCAAGCTGGATCCAACCTCAGGCCGAGCACCCCCTTAGGCCGAGCACCCCTCCAGGCCGAATACCCATCAGAACAACAAATGGGTCGAATACCCCTTAGGCCGAGTACCCCCCTCAGGCCGGTGAATAGACCGAATACCCCCTCGGGTCGAATAAACCATTAAGCCAACAAATGGGCCGAATACCCCCTTAGGCCGAGTACCCCCCACGAACCCCTTCGGCTTCATCCATGACCGAAGACCCTTTCGACTTCACTCATTACCGAAGACCTCTTCGGCCTCGAGCCTGACCGAGCCACCACCACACAACTTGGAGGAAGACCGAACGCCCCCCTTTCGGCCAAAAGCTTGGCCGAACACCTCTTCGGTCATACAACCAACCGAACACCCCCTTCGGCCAAAAGCTTGGCCGAACACCTCTTCGGTCATACAACCAACCGAACACCCCCTTCGGCCAAAAGCTTGGCCGAACACGTAACCCACATGGAACAGAGGCGAGATAAGTCACTCATTACATAATGATCATTGCACCTAATTAACAGAGATTATGATTAACTAAGGTATTACCCATATCCCAAGACAGAAGGCCCACCAAGCCCAAATATGTCACTATAAATACACAAGTGAAGTGACATAAAGGAGGTACGCTTTTATTTAGTATAAATATTTTCCGCTCTATACCGAACACTTACTTGAGCGTTGGAGTGCCTTTGCAGGTACCCTCCCCACCCTTGGGAGATATCATTCGGTCGGCACCGAGGACTTAGAAGATCGCAAGGAAGGAGCGACAGGAAGAGTGTTCTATGCAGGAACATTTCTCATACTAAACGAATTGATGGAAAGAAATAAAACAAAAATAATATTGTACTAGCTATACAATTTTTATTATATATGTAACATTATTCTATATTTAAGCAATTGTATTTTTTTTAGTCTTCTCATTAGAGTTAATTTAGGTGACATTTTAAATTTGAAGTTCAACATACAGTAACTCATGAAAAAAAAAAGTTGGGATTGATGTAGTCATCGAACTCCTGTGTATTCCTTTTTGATTCATATATATATATATATATATATATATATTGCATCATCAACCAACAAAATAATGGGGGAAAAATTAGTAAATCATATACATAAAATTTAATAAGAATTACTTAAAATTTTATTATTAGAGTGAAAATATCAGAGTTGTTATGTACTTATGTATTTCGTGAATGTGTTGAGTAGTTTGCGTTGTGAACGATCCAATAACAAAAAATAAAAATGAAAAAGTTTTAAATAAACTTGAAAATAATTGTGGATAATTGCTTTGGTAGTTTCAATCCTAAGAAAGTACCAGATTTAGACTCGACTTCTCTAACTTGAACGCGAAAATATTAGGATGACTTTTAGTTGATTTTAGCATTGGAATATTGAAATAAATAATATTGTGATACGTGTAAAATTAGGTGAAAATTTTATTTGTTGGGTTCTGTAACAAAAATGGTGTATAAACCTAAATTAATCATATTTTGTATTCCCTTTTAATCTTGTTGCAACATTAATCATATTTCTCCGATTCTTGTACAAATTTTGTTATGTATGAAAAATCTTAATTTGTATTGCATGTTTTACAAAATAATCGATCCGTATCACGCACAAGGTTATTTTTAAATATTTTTCTTTTATGAGAAAAATTTTAAAAGTTTTTTTCATTTCTTATCTGATTCAATTTTAATTATATAATTATTTAAAAATTAAAAATAAATAAGTTCAGCCCCTCGGCTCCAAAGAAGTTCTGCCTCTGCACTTGCATATGCATTAAAAATTGAAGGGCATATCAGATCACATGCCGCAGCAAGTAATAAACCTCAAACTGGGTAGAAGACAAATGCAATTTGCAGCAATAATATGGTATAATAATACGCAAAGCAAACTAAAATCCCTAAGTTGATCACTCAGCCTTCAAACAAGACTCCAGAGAGGTCAAATAGGATGGCATATTTAAAAGCAGAAAGCAGTGAGATTCAGAATAACGCTAAGAAAACGAACTTTTTTGTACAACGATGCCAATCTTAACTCATATTACAAATTAAACTACTGCTCCCGAGATCAAGAGATGTTCATGGCCTCGGCATGATAGGTCTCCAGTTCCTTGTCAAGTTCCTCAGCAGACTTCTCAACATTGTCCTTTCTTCCGCGGCCACGGCCTCCGCCTCCAACAGCACCCCTACCACGACCACGACCTCGACCTCCACCAGCACCCCTCCCACTCCTTGTGCCACCACGACGTCCCCAACTAAATCAAAAGGATAAACAATCAATGACATGTCTTGGGTATAATAGCTTACACAACGAAAGGAGAGGAAGGGAAGTAAAACATATATCTAGTTTCACCCACAGACTACAGAGAAACAATACAAAGCAATTTCTGTGCCCCTACAATAACAAATAAGTACACAACAATAGCAAATGAAATGCCTACATAATGCATATTATTGTGGCATCTGGATTCTAGATCTACATAAGCTAGCATCATGTAGGCCAAAACTTAACAGATATAAGTCATCACTACACCGCGGCATCACAAAAGTAAAAATAAAAGGCAAATCACAAAGATGCATCTTCCCCACGTTCAAAACATTACTAAACCTTAAAACGTCTATTATACTGAAAACCAAACTGTAAGCATATTAGCTACTAGTAAAGTGCAGGGTTAGGCACCAATTTAATGAAACAGCATTATCTAAAAATAAACAGAAATACAAAGCCTAAAACAGAGGAGAGGACATACAATATTATTATTAAAAAGATCGCTCAATTTATAGCATGCGTAATTTGAATTTAGTACATCAAAGAAACTTGTTTTAAAAAAGTGTGCAGTATCTGTGTCAATGCCTAATGAAAATTTTCAAAACACAGCACAGACGTGGACAAATTTTTACAATTCAAATAAAACATATTACATGCACAATCCAGACTGATCTGAATCATTTGACGATTAAAATAGTCTAGTTTTTTTTAACTGTAATTTTACTTTTTTCATGCCATCAAAAAATAACTATGGCCTGTGATTATTCACATGAACTTTTAATAATGTCTTAGAATGCTCAACCTCTTAAAACTAATATTCCTCCTGCTAGCATTTTATTTTCATGCCACTAAAAAGAATTATGTAGCAAAAGATCCTTCACATGTAGGTCCCTCCTAGGCTCCTAATCTCGGTCAAAGGATATGGAACCAACTCAGATCCATTGTTGATTTGATAAATATCATTGCTTTAAAAACGTAAACAAATAAACAAAAACAATGAGATGAAGTGAAATCACCCTAAAACACAAGGAAAAAGTTGTATGAAACATCAACTTAACCCTGTAAATTCACAATAGGAACTCTAGCGAAAACATAGCTGAACATAATAGAGAACACAACAAAATCCATTTTTACCTAAAAATACATGAATAAAACCTAAACATAATACAGCCAAAATCTTCATAATAAATATCTTGCGCCACTGGATTTAAAGAAGTTCCACAAAAGTTCAATATACAAATTTCAATAAAAAATAACATCAATAAGAAACAACACCATTAATGATCTGAAAGGGCTTACCCAGCACCACGATTAGGCATAGCAGGACCTCCAGCTTGACCACCTCTTGGCCTGCAACATGGTCAACACCCCAAAACTCAGAACACAATCTAAAGCAGTATTCTTTTATTTCTACCTAGAGATGAAGAATTTTAACATTACTTATAACTAATTATGCCCATTAGAAGTTTAGTTAAGTGTCTGCTAGTGATTCAGTTAGATTATTAGTTAATTTGATAGTCGGGTTAGTTAAGCAGGTTGACAGTAGAAAAAATAAGGCATATTGCCTATAAATAAAGAGGGAGGTTGAGAGAGAAATCATAATATTTGAGAAAGGATTAGACAGAGTGAAAAGTCCTGGTCCCTTGAATATTCAGGGAAATCATTCATTTAGTATCTTCTAACTCTAGCCCAGTGCTGCTACAGACTACCACAGCAATTGAGACTAAAGGATCATCAATAAAAAATCACTCTTTCTTTTTAGATTCTGAACCATTTCTATCAACTGGTATCAGAGCTCTGATCTTGTTGCTGTGGGTATCGAATCTTGGTGGTTGATCCAGGTATAGCATTATTTTGAAGCCAATAGAACATGCGATGAAGAGAAGTTATCAAAGGCAGCAAAGGCTCAATGAAGAAAGTAAATGCAGCCTGGTGGACATTTGTAAAAGTTCCAGTCAAAAGACTCCACCTAGATCGAGATTTTGATCAACAAGTATGGACATGGCAAGAGAAACAAGAGCATGGGGAGCCAAGAGAGATAACAAAAATTGCTTGGAACCCACCAATTCCCAGAGCAACATTTTGGACAAAGAATCAGAAGAACAAAAGTTTTTCAAAGGACAAAACTGATGAATAAAAAAAAAAAAAAAAGAGGTTCGGAGTTTGGGTAATATGATCAAACCACCACAGAAGCCCAATAAGGTGGAAGAACTTCATATTCATCAGGCTACAACCAGCAGCACTTCAGTTCACAAGAATGCCATGGGATCTCAGTATAATAATTTCAAAGCCTCTGATTAATGGCCAAAAACAAAGCACAGGGGCATTCACATGTTTGTGTAAGACTCAGGAGGAGTGGAAGCTATTCTTTAACTGAAGGATGGAATTAGTTAGGTCATCGTGCTTTAATCAGTTGAATGTCAATGAACTTCACAAGAACATCCTCGAGGACTATCAACTTTGGGGGGAGTATTGATAGATACCCATTAGTAGTTTAATTAGGTATCTGTGAGGAACTTAAATAGTTAGGTTCATTGAACAGTCTGAGACAGTAAAAGAAACAAGGCATATTGCCTATTAATAAATCGGGTGGATTGGGAGAGTGCTGGTATCTCTCAAATATCCAGGGAAAACATTTATTTTGTATCTTCTAATAATCTAGCCCATGGCCTCTATCACATTGGCACAACAATTGGGATATAGGGTTCATCAATTAAAAAATTATTCTTTGCTTTAGATTCTGAACTAGTCCTATTAGTAACACTAACGGAAAATATTTTTTCCAGTCGCTGCATGTTTTGTTCATTCCAAATTGATATCCTCTTTTCAAAATTCAAAAATAAATAAGACCTAATTACATCACAAGATTCAATGGTAGGAGACAGACAGATATTACTAAAAATAAGTTCTTAATTAAGGTAGTGTTTGGACCATTTATATTTTGGATTTATCTTCCTAATCTTAAAAAAAATGACTTATAAAGTTAAGTGGAGAAGCTTCAAAGTTCAACAAAATCAATCCAAAAAAACCAGTCCAAAATGCTACCAAGGTAACTTACGTCATTACAACAGTTCTCTTCCTCCGCCCATTCACCCCAGTGACATTCACACGAGCAGATATAGGCAATTCCGGATTGGAACCAACAATCTCAATCTTCATGGGCTTTCCATCCAAAAGTACATTATTATATCGTTTAAGAGCAGCAAATGCATCACTTCTTCTAGTATAAACAACTTCAGCAGAACCCTGTTACACATTTAAAGATAATAAACATTTAGCAAAAAGAACTAGCAACCACACAAAGCTAATATACATAAAATAAAACTGCTAAGCACAATACTACTTTCTGAAATAAAGATAAATTAGGGAACTAAAAAGGCATGGCTAGTCCAATGAAATAGCAGAAACACTTAGAATATTGTATATAACAACCCCCAAAGGAAAACAATTGTTAACTATAAGCTTAAATAGAACAGTAGCTGAGTTTACCATAAAAAAATCCAATACTTACGCTTGGATGTCCATTTTTGTCATAATGAACAGCATGACGCTTCAACTCTCCAAGCTCAGAGAAAAGTTCCTGAGTTGCAAATCAAGTTTCAAGAGAACTTCCAGACAGATTGGGCAGAAACAGTGACTAAGAATGAACCATGTGATGATAAGACATAGTATATACCCTTATGTCTTCATTGGTCACTCCACGGTCCAAATTGGAAACATACAACTTGGTGCCTACTTCTACTCCTTGAATCCCTGCAGCTCTTAGGCTATCTTCAAACAAATCATGCTGCCATGGAAAGGGCCTAGCTCGGCGAATAGACTGGCCAAAGCAAACAGAACAGGTTCCAAAGGGGCAAAAGAACACATCAGATTATGACCAGAAAAAAGATATTCACCATTCTTCAAGATTAGTCAGGGCAGGAAACTTCCCACAAAAAAACAAAACACGATATTAATGAAGTAGATCTGACCATGGTAATATATATTCAAAAGAGAACTCGTACTCAAAACATCAATGTTCTAGGTGAAAGATGGTAAATGGGAGTAAGAATTCAACCCACTGCACATAAACCGATGCTATGCTATAAGTGAGAGCTCCAGTTCTGGTTCTAAGTGAAAAAGCTCCTTCGCAAAATACCATGAAATAGGGAAGTATACTGAATTCTTGCATTGTAGAACCCAACTTAGCAACAGGATCCAATAAAACACCGGTGACCGGTCCACACAAACCCAGCCAAACATTTAAAGTCATCTCATGTAAATGAAATGGATTAGCATGGTTTAGAGAATTTAACCCCCACTTATAGTTATATGATTTTTGTGCTACTGGTAAGAGCTCCATTTTGAAATTCACCTAATGAAGCTCCTTCACATAATATGCCAGGAATCACCAAAGAACTCCTGCACACATCAGAGATCTGTAGCAAAGCCCCCCAAAACAAAAGCAAACAACTCTTAGGTGCATATTAATTGTGACATTATGGAACTATGACAAAGGCATCGATGATGCAAAATGAACGACCATGAGCTTCTCCATGGAACAAATACTAAAAGATGGGGATTCCACTTGCTTTTGAGTTTCTACAATGCTGAATCGTCTCATAATTGGGTATATATTAGCATGTCAGATTCTCAAGCACATGTATAAGCATCCGCGTTTTTCGAGCTTGCCTTGGCAATAGCATATGATGATGGCCGAGTGTTAACCATAAGAGGACCTCTACGAACAGCACCAGTTGTTCTTCCACCATTACCAGCACCAGCCATTCTTCTACTATTAACCGCACCAGCCATTCTTCCACCACCAAGAGCACCACTTGGTCCACGGCCAGTCTGGGCTCTGCCACGTCCTCTACCTCTCCCTCTGTTACTCCTGTTCTTAATTCTATCATCAAGCGACATATCCAAGGAAGAAGCCATTATACTTGCAATTTAACAAAGTCAAAATCTTCACCAAATTTAATGATACGGCCTGCAAAAACAAAGGATTTTTAAAAAATTATATCCACACGTCCATAACAAAATGAAAAAGAGGCCACCATATGGAAATTTAGACGATTGTACTAAAATACTATTGCTCATACAATAATAATTTGGTTCAACTCCATACAACAAGTGGCCTAATCTGTATTTTGTATAATTAAACAGACACCACCGAAAACTGAATAACGAATCCCAGTTAAACACCCCCAAAATAATCTATGATGTCAAAACCACAATTCCTCGGACAGCAACTAGCAGATCCCACCTAATAGACACATTTCTGAATTATTATGCACGAATTACAATTAATCGTAAACTCCAATAATATTCTTCTTCAACAAAATCCCTCTTCGGTTGGAATCCCACCCTAAATTTTAAGTTCACAAATTTCCAGGGAAATTTGCCCTAAAATTTTGTAAGAAAAAGGTAGACAATGAAATGATCTCGTTAGGAAAAACACTGCTCCGTGTCAGAATAGACCCAGCCACTGCGGAAACGCACAACAAACGCACGAACACAAAAACAAAAACACCACAATTGAAAGGGGAAAAAAATAATACCTGGAGATGATAAGAGGAACCCGAGGGGAGAAGAGCGTGAAGCGAGAATCAGAGGAGAGGGAGAATTCAGGAGTGCGAGTGTTTTGGGGGGGCGAAGGATCGATGAACACAAATAAGTATGGGCGAAAATTAGGGTTTGGAAGGAAAAGAAGAGGAAAGATCCATACGAATGTGGGAGAAATGGGGTTTTAGGGTTGGAGCGTTTGTTTGGGTTGGGTTTAGCTTAGCCTCTTGGAAACAAAGCTACCCATTGTGTCATTTTAAAAAGCCCTCAAGGACTTTTTTGTCCTTTCGCTTTCCTTCCTATCTCGTCCGATGATAAAGCCACGAACACAAGTCACAATTCACCCTTTTAATACGTACTTAAAAAAAAACATATATTTTTATCTTCTAAATTTAGAATTTATTTTTTCCTTTTAAATTTAAAATTTTATTTTTAATCTTTATAATTTTAAAAAAATTTATTTAAATATCTCATGTCACTAATAACATATTTAAATAATAGATTGAGATAGTTATACAACATTAATTAAGTTTATGTTTTTTCTAATATGATAATATTTTATAGTTATTTTAACAAAATTTGATAAAAATTAAAATATTATTTTTTAAAAATACAAAAACTGAAAAATCCAATTTTAATTTAAGAAACTGAAAATAAATTTATCTTAAATTTATGATATTAAAATTAGAGGAGGGTTCAAAGTGTAACTTTTACTAAGTGTTACATCGCTCAATAACTTTATATTAAATGTGAATTTTGAAAATTCAACCGTTAGATTGAAAGTTCATATATCTTAGATCATATATATCAAATTTTATATTAATCTAAGATGATTTGATACTTCATTCTTATAAAACAAAATTGACGTAATATATACATTTCAAAATATACTAAAATATGAACACTTTGATTACCTTCAAGTTGTTGTTCAATTTTAATAAAATTTGACATATATGATCTAAGAGATATAAACTTTCAATTTAACGGTTGGATTTTCAAAATTTACATTTAATATAAAGTTATTGAGCGGTGTAACACTTAGTAAAAGTTACACCGGTGTCGTTTGAACCTTCCTCTTAAAATTATATTTTAAGAAAAAAAAATCCTTGAATGTGATATGAATTTACATAAAAGGCAAAAAAAATAATGATGATGACTTTTCACAATTATTAGTAGTAAAATGGTTAAATAAATTCATTAATTTATTTGTCACAACTCAATAGATGTATGCAATTTTTGTCATTGAAAAACAACCGAATCTCCTCCATAAAAGGCGAGAGACAACGAGGACTTTTCCCAATTAGTAGTAAAGTGATCAAAACAATTCATTAATTTCATCATCACGTGATAAACGTAAACTTGCCAGCCAAACACACACCTAGAAAGTTTCAAATAATAGTGAGTAATAACGTATGGTTTTTTTCAAATGTATATATTTAAGACCAATGTCCAATTTTCATCAAGTACAACAAAGTTAAATTCATTACTTCATATCCAAAACAAAAGTGCATCCAAAAATCTATTTGATATATAGTAAGAAAGGTAAAAGGATAAATTATAGATTATAGTTTATATGATGTAAAATAATAATAATAATAATAATAATAATAATATGTATTAATTAAGATTTTAGAAAAAGTGAAATATCCAAACATCATTATTGTCTCCAAAAGCCTTACTTATTGTCCTTAATTCCCTTATGAATTTAGCTGCAATGCTTATACCTTATACCCGAATTCAATGTTAAATTAGATTTTCAACGAAATAATAAACAAGAATAATCACAATATAACACATACCATTTTTTCATAATATGAAACTTTCATGTTAGAAATGTTGAGCCAAAAACGTTTTTAATGTCCAACACTCCAATTTTGATAATAATAAAGTCATGATTATGATGGACTAATGATTTGTATAATTCTTTGCAGGAAAACATATGTCCAAGTTAAAAAGATATGCAGGTTAAATTGTTTTGACTAAATAACATGTCTTCTTTCAAATGTGTAAAAAATAAGTATAATAATAGTCTTATTAATATTTTGTTTTGGATATAATAAACAGTATTTATTGTTTCTGCCTATAAATGTTTTGATTAAGATTTATAATAAATAAGTCTTTTAGTTATTTCTTATAAAGTTTGATTATTTTTTTTAACCGTCTCATTTGATTAAGGTGTTCTCGATAAAGAAAAGTTATAAAAAATAGCATTTTTTACACAAAATAATTTAAATATAATTTTAAATTCAATTTCATGATCACTTCTAATTATAATAATATAGTATCTTTTTTCATTTTAAACCCTCTTATAAAATATTTTAAAGATGTTGAAGGACTCATGCTTGTAAGCTAGAAAATATAGTCATATATATATAATAGTTATCTATAATGACAAATTTATACTTTTTGCCTCTCAAACTAAGAGTTCTGGTTGGATCACATAAATCCATATATAACAATTCCAAAAAGTCAGGAAGTGGAAACAATCTTTTTAGGTTTTAATTTTTTTTTAATGTTTCCCCTTTTGACAAGTTTCGTAGAGAAAAAGAGTTTCCAGAAAATTTCAAATAGTTCTCTTACTAAACCATTATTGTTTAGTTTAAAGATATGTTTTAAATTTATATGCCTAAGTTTTTTATGTCAAATCCATCTTTCATTTTCTCTTAAAAACAAAACAAGTAAGATTTTGTTTGCCTAAATCATCAAGGTTAATCTAATAAAGATTATTCTTTTTGTAGGCAGTAAAAAACACTAACTCGTAAAATAAACTTTGACTATACATGAGCCTATGTCAAAGGACAAAATATATATACTATTATAAAATTGACTTATGTTAAGTAGAACCGTCAAAAGAATAAGAGTTAAAGTCAGATTTTACAACCAATCTTATTTCGTCTGCATTTGTCGTAAGATAAATGTTAACTTTCTCATCATCTTAATTATTGTTGTTGTTGCCCAAATTTTTCTTGGTGGTCATCAGACTTTTCCTGACCTTCTTCTTATTAGTCCATCATTTTATGAATGTAGGACATTTAGACTTCATTTGTCCAAGATTTATGTACTCATAGTAGATGACCTCTTTGCTTTATTTTTGGATAGGTCCCTTAAACCTATCATTCTTTTTGTGGAAACTCCTCAACATTCCTTTCTTTTTAAACATGCTATCAAACTTCTTGGATATGAGAGATATCTCATCCTTTGAGTCTTTAGAACTTTCATATAAGTTATTGTGATTAAACTTGACCTTTATACTTTAGAGATTTGCCATTCCCTCTTCTATTGGCTTCACCAATCCTTAGAACAACATAATCAATTGCTTTCAAATGATCCCTATTGTTCAAATGGACTTCATGGACCCTCAGGGCTCCTAAAAGTTTGTTCAACGCAGGAGTTTTAAGGTCATGAGCTTTTGATATAGTAGTGGCCTTTGGTTACTAGAGCTTTGGAAGGCTATCCATGATCTTGAGATTATTCTAAGCTTTAAAGAACTTAGTTTCCAAGCATTTTAATCCATTAAGAATGGTTTAGAATCTTCCAACATCCCATCAATGGTTTTATTCTCCTTCATAGAGAATAACTCATAATGTCTCCAAAGAGCAGTCGTTCATCTAAGTCGTACACCTTCAATACCCGCATGAGTTACCTTGATGACTTCCCACATTTCTTTAGTAGTCTTGCAATTGCAAAACTTGTTGTACTTTGTTCTTAACAAAGAATAAGCTAAGGTGTATCTTGCTTTTGTGTTGAGTCGCGAGATGTTGTAGTCTTCCTATGTGCACTCATTTTCTAGCTTGGTTATAAGAACATCACCACCTGTGATGATCTTCTAGAGATGGTATTGTGTGGACTTAATGAACATCTCCATCTTGTTTTTTCAATATGGGTAGTTTTATCCATTCAAGATTAGTGACCTTATAAGAGAAGCCCTTTTAGGTAGGCAATGGCCTTCACTGCTTCCCATCTTAGGATTTTCTCCTTTAACATGGTTAGATACTCTACCCATTAAAGGTTGAGTTATAATACCAAACTATGGATATAAAAAAGACACTAGAAGGAGAGTTGAATAGTGTCAATAAAAAACTAAATACTTTTTGAAACAGTGAAGTAGTATCAAAAACCTTAAGAGTGTAAACAAAGAGTCAAGAGCAAAGATCGCAATATTTTTATACTAGTTTGTCTCAATCACCGGGATTACGTCCAGCTCTTCATCAACTTGATCAAGTTTCACTATCTTTCACAAAGGCACAAGTATTCTTTTATAAGTCACTTATAAATTAACCTAAGTATTTTTTTACTTGCCTCTTCAAGCAACTATCTAGGTGTTTTTTTGAACAAATAAGCCTCTATAGGCTTTAGCCATGTATTCTTTATAACAAAGTCTCTTCAGACTTCAATCAATAACACAAAGTTAAAACTAAAAAACCAATAGTTGTTTCGTCTTACTTTCAAAACATGATACGACAAAATTAAGTACAAACTTTTTACAGAAAGAATGAATGTTTTCTACAATGAGTGTTCTCCTTTTTTTTTTTTTTAAAGTCTTCAAGCTTATATAAGTGTTTCATGAAGATGACCATTGCAAATCCTTAAGCATTTCTTATGGGCTTGCTTCATCTATATTCATCTTCCTTCTTTGTAGAAAGAAGTATTCGTTGATGTATTAAATGTGACCGTTAAATGTATTTCACCAAATTATAACGTCTTATTTGATCAAGAAGGCTATTTATCAACTTTAAGATACCACGTAGAAAAAAAATATTGTGTATGTCAATCAAAAATGACTTTTTTTTTAGACTTTGCATGTTTTGAGGGATTTGTTTTTTCCTTTTTCTAATGAAAAACATGTCTTCATTCTTTTTTGAAGTGGAAGTACCGAAAAAACTTCATATTCTTTTTGATCTGTTAATGAATAACATAAACAAATATGATTTGATTATCTAACAACATAAATGATATATATATTAAATGCATTCATCTTATAGACGTAGTGGTTTATTAGAGAGATTACACGTCATTATAAACAATCATCAATTCTAACTCGTCTTATAGTATGATCCGAAAAACTTTCTTCTGAAAAACATTTAAGTTTGATAACATTAAAATTGATATCTCAAGAGATCCAAAATTATTTTCTGATTTAATTATATATATATATATATATATATATATATTATAATAAATACTAGAAGTTAAAAAATCGATTAAAAAATATGTAGACTATATAAAATATGCAAAAATGATTTTATCACAAAAAATTGATTATAATATTTTTTTAATATCTATCTTTTATATTTCCCTTAAATCAAATAACCAAAATTTTACTTTTATTTTTTATTTATTTCACTAACATATTTTTTTTACTATATTTCTCAATTATTTCTTTTCTTTCTACAATAACAGACTATGAAATACTCATACTCACACCTAGTAATAAAGAGTTTATAGCTATGTTTGAGAATTCGTTTATGGTGAGGCAAACAATAAATCTCACTTTTTTATCCAAAAAAACATGAAACAAATTTTTATAGCTTTTGTTTCAGCATACATTTGAGTGGCTTGAAATGTGACCACAAACACGCTAGATAGTTAGTGTGACTTATTGAATTATCCTCAATGTCACCGATGTACAACAAACCTCCACCCTCACTTTTATCCTTTTTTATTTTATTTTTTACACAAAATATTTATAAAAATATAACCTTTATCTACCAAAACCCAACAACACAATGATGTCACTTTTTAATATTTGTTATCAACTATTTGTAAAATAGCAAAATTAGATGGTGTTGCTTGAAACAATAATGATGGTAGTTTCCTTAATAGTATGAGATTAAATTACTCTAAAACTAAATCTTAATAAATTTATTTTATTCAATAATTTATAGTATATGCCGAATAATAATATTTCAATCATTAAATTAAAAGTTTTATTAAGTTAGTAATTTTTTAAAAATTAAAAATATTTGATACTTCTTTTCATTAACTCAAATTGATAAATAATTATAAAAATATTTTATACATTGATTTGAATATATATAATAAAGTATTATATAATTTTCTAAATTCTTAAAAATTTGCAGAGTTAATTTATTTATTAAAAAATTTTAATTTAATGATTAGATTATTGAATTTAACATACACAGTAGATTATTGCGTGAAGTAACTTTAACAAAAGTTACTCTTGAAGAGATTTTCCTCTTTTTTTCTAATTATAAAAAGTTGATTATTGAATTTGAAGGGGAAAAAACTTCTTTAAAGGTCCTTTATTTCATAAAAGCCATAAAGTAATAAAATAGATTTAATGACATCAACACTTGGATTATACATCTCTTATCTTATTTATGAGATTCATTTTGGTTGTTTATGTTTTTAAATTTGGATTGCTTTAGTTCTTTTGAAATAATATTCATTTTCAATTTTAAGACACAAATTTAAATTATTTTTCTCTTGATTTAAGACCTGAAACTTGTCTCATTATATTCACTTGTATAAAATTTATTGAGCACAACTGATGTTTGAATCAAAAAGACTCATAAACATTGTTAAAAATGTGTGAAAAAGTGTCTATGATGCAACTGTTTCTAGAAACAAAATTGCATGAATAATAAACATGAGTTAGTGGATCCAAACCTCCATGTCACCATTGTATAACAAATCTTAAACCTCATTTCTATTTTCTTTTTACCTCTATTATACAATATTTACACAAATACAAGTATGGTTGGGTTCACGATCGTGCTATATATGAATAAGGTTGTGCTAAGTGTAATACGATTGTATTAGGTTTAATCATATCATGTCACTTTCAAAAGTATAATTAGGCTTAACGGTCTTTATAAAAGTTGTAACTTACTATGTTAGTAAACTAATAACTTTAAAATCATTTATAAGAGTTGTAACCTGTTAACTAACTAATGATTTTGAAATCATTTAAAAAGGATGTCTAAAATTTAATATATGATCAAATTAGTAAGAAAATGTAAGGTTGTCAAAGTTAGAAAATTATTTTGTGTTTTTATTTTTGTATTAGATGATTAAATTAAATTTTGTGATCAACATAAGAATTGTAGATAATTTTATTATCTTTCAAATAAAATGAAGATTAACTTTATATCATTTATATAACTATATATATCATGTTTACACCCAGTAAAAGTCATAATCACATAAGAGAGAATGAAGAAAATAATAAAAGATATAGAAAATTGAGATAGTATAAAAAAATATAAATAATAAATTATATAATAAATTTACTAAAATTTATATCATTTTTATTATAAAAATATTATTTATTAATTTTAAATTAGATTAATATTATATAAACAGTTTTAAACAATAATTAACTCAAATAAAAATGTTATATATAATGTATTGTTCAATTTATATCTAACAAAGTTAAATGTCTTAGTAATTTAGGTGGTGGATGTTATAATAAATGTTAACTTTTTGAGAACTAAATTCTATACATCTATAAAAGAGATACATTTATGAACCATTTCTTTGATTTTCATTTTTTAATTAGACATTTTTATCCCTAAACTTATAAAACTCACCCTTTGCAATAAAAAAAACACTAAATACAATTACTCACTTTAGAATCTTGATATAATTTTTTTACAATCATTTTTTTAAACCTCTAAAAAGAATATATATATATAT